TGATTTTGTTAACTAGTTTTATCTAGACAGTTTTATTTTGCAGATTTAATTGAATTACTTTTATACAATGTTCTGCATTTGCTATTTATGGATGACAAATAGAACAAAGGGCCAAACTGTAATCATGTCAACATTATGTTTACAGTTTGAATCTATGAATGAGTCATTAAAGATTGTTGAAACCTTGGTAGTTTTGAAGGGTGGGCAAAGAACTGTTCAGTTTTGTCACACATACAGTAAAACCAAAAACAGTTCTTGTTTTTCAATCCAGTTGGAAGCCTTATGTGTTTTGCAGATTCATGTATGTGATTATAAAAGTCTTGGATGTTATATATCCATGTACTTCGATAGTCCTTTATGAATTTTTCAAAATGACAGTGGCTTGATAAAAGGAACAAGAGAATTTTGAGTTCCACATGGCCATTAAGTAATGAACAATAAGTCTAAATTGATTATTTGATCAAGTGGGAGAATGTAAGAAGGTTTATTACATTAAACCTACTAAAGTGATCTTCTAATCAACTTAGGATTACAAAGACTTATTGTTTATTAGGAACTCAAAACCTATCTCGATTAGGCAAGCCTCAAACAGTGTTCAATAAGGATAATGAAGGCTTAAGGGTTCCTAGTTCTACAAGGATTGGAATGGATTAATCCTATAGCATGAAGGATATCTCTAAGTGTTTCTTGATGGGCAAGACACTTAGAGAGATGCATATAAATAGAAGGCTCCCTCCTAGATCCGAATAACACAACACAGCTAAACAGAAATTCACCCATCAGAGTTATAGCTATAAGGATCGGATTCTCAGGAGAAGAACTTCTATACCTTGCACTGCCAATCTGTTCCAGCATCATCCAGCTCTTGCGCCAGCACCATGTCAGACTCAGGTTAGTGTTAAACATTATGGCTTTAAGGAATTAACATAATTGCCTCAAGTTATTAACTGTGCTGGAGTCCTTCATCTCTATTTGATTTCGAATCATGGCCACATCAAGTGAACTTGACCAAGTCTGCACTAATAGACTCTTCTCACCAATGCACCCCAAAAAAGGCAAATGCTTGTTAGACTAACAAAATCGAGAGAAATTGAGAGATATTCTGTACCACTTAACCTACTACAATATGAAAACTATGAAAGGATCCCTATCAAACCTGTACTTGAGTTGCCAGGTCGAGCAGGAAAAAGAATATCAGAATATCCTCATTAGCACTCTCGCTTCGCTCGGAGCTTGCACTGAACCCCTGATCACCCCCTTTATACAGCCACCCAGGTTCCACCCTCACGCTCCTTTGTCTCGAGACTCTTGACATATCCCCGGTTACCTCCAAAGACCAAGCTTTGATGGCACAGGTGGCAGCTACCATGCCTTTCAATACCAGAGCTTATCCGGGTTTCCTCATCAATGTGAAATGCTTCCTCCACGAAGGCATCGATCCACACAGCCCACCATTACGTGACGCAGTGAAAGTACCGAGTGACAGACCTTGCACCATGACTAGAATAGCCTAGAATTGTTCAAAGCTTTTATTTCTTTTACCAATTGTTCAAAGCTTTTGTAATAAATAGCCTAGAATTCCTCCAGATTTACAAAATTCGACACTAACTATGATCCCAACATGACAAAAATTGAATCGAGAACCATTCCTGTTACAGACTAATTGATCCTTGTTTCTTGATGGGCAAGACACTTAGAGAGATGCATATAAATAGAAGGCTCCCTCCTAGATCCGAATAACACAACACAGCTAAACAGAAATTCACCCATCAGAGTTATAGCTATAAGGATCGGATTCTCAGGAGAAGAACTTCTATACCTTGCACTGCCAATCTGTTCCAGCATCATCCAGCTCTTGCGCCAGCACCATGTCAGACTCAGGTTAGTGTTAAACATTATGGCTTTAAGGAATTAACATAATTGCCTCAAGTTATTAACTGTGCTGGAGTCCTTCATCTCTATTTGATTTCGAATCATGGCCACATCAAGTGAACTTGACCAAGTCTGCACTAATAGACTCTTCTCACCAATGCACCCCAAAAAAGGCAAATGCTTGTTAGACTAACAAAATCGAGAGAAATTGAGAGATATTCTGTACCACTTAACCTACTACAATATGAAAACTATGAAAGGATCCCTATCAAACCTGTACTTGAGTTGCCAGGTCGAGCAGGAAAAAGAATATCAGAATATCCTCATTAGCACTCTCGCTTCGCTCGGAGCTTGCACTGAACCCCTGATCACCCCCTTTATACAGCCACCCAGGTTCCACCCTCACGCTCCTTTGTCTCGAGACTCTTGACATATCCCCGGTTACCTCCAAAGAACAAGCTTTGATGGCACAGGTGGCAGCTACCATGCCTTTCAATACCAGAGCTTATCCGGGTTTCCTCATCAATGTGAAATGCTTCCTCCACGAAGGCATCGATCCACACAGCCCACCATTACGTGACGCAGTGAAAGTACCGAGTGACAGACCTTGCACCATGACTAGAATAGCCTAGAATTGTTCAAAGCTTTTATTTCTTTTACCAATTGTTCAAAGCTTTTGTAATAAATAGCCTAGAATTCCTCCAGATTTACAAAATTCGACACTAACTATGATCCCAACATGACAAAAATTGAATCGAGAACCATTCCTGTTACAGACTAATTGATCCTGCACAAAGGTTAACAACCAAGCAGACCCAATTAGCAACGTTAAAATAGATTCTGTGGCAACATAAAAAGAGAAGCTGATTAGAGTGCCTCAAAATGCAGCTTTATGGACAACAGCAGTGGAATAGAAACTTAAATCTGAAAAGGAATTGGGTCAAACAATTGAGTATTACCATATGCCACCAGAAAGTTGGGGTCTGCATGTACATCAACCAAAACCTGGAAAAGGATAAAGAAAGATAATTAGAAATCATATTGCGTGCAATGTGTTTTCGGACTCGGGAAACAGAAATAAAGGCAATCCTTGAGATTTCAAACTATACAGCATTGTTGCCCTCTCATTACTCTTCTTATTATTGATACTTAATTCACTTTAACATATCATAACAGAAGCATATGTTCAATTATATAATCAGCCTCGGGATGGGACATCAAACCTCAGTGAGCTTGGTAAGAGGGAGGGAGGAAGATGAGGGAGGAGAGAAGGGAGTTGTTGACTGTCATCGGTAGGAGCAGTGCAAGGAGTTTGACCTCATGGATTAAAGAACTTAAGGAATTAGAAATATTTTAGACATGAAACTGAGGGATGCACGCGAGATTAGATTCAGGAATGGAATTGAATTGGTAAATTCAAAAAAGTCGCTATTGGGTTGGTATGGTAACTTTAATAGGCAAAAAGCCTAGTCAGTTGTGCAAATTATTACATGATGCATTCCCCTCTCGTGCCAATTGCAAATTGCAAATGAGATTATGTGCCTTTTCTTAATATAATAAAAGGTCTAAGTAATAAAACAGAAATAACTGACAGCGTCAATAACCACTTCCACTATAAGTATTAATTAAGGAGTATACACAACAGAACAGACACAGTGCAAAGCCTTGCACAGAGCAGAGGGCAACACAACAGACACAAAGGAAGAATCCAGCAGCTTTCAAAATTACAGGAAGATTACTGCATAAATGGCTCACACAATTTGAGCAACACAAGCTTTGGCCATCCACAGCAAGACTCGAAATATTACAAGTTGAACACAGCACAGCCGTGAGAAGCTTTGCTCTCATTCCCAAAATCCTATCATTTCTCCACCTCCAGATATGATCCACAATCCCAGCCAGCCAGGCAAAGCCTTTTTTACTACATAACATAATGCACTTTTTTACCTTTCCACTGAGCAGCACAGCAGCCCAATTAACAAAGATGAGACCAGAAATGATCCCATATTCACCATGCACTCTAGAGTCCTATGTATCATCATCACAAAAGGAGCAATTAAAGAATTAGTGCTCATGAGATTCCAGCAAAACCTGACACAAAACCCACAATCTAATAGCCTATGGAGTCTATACAAGTGCTCATAAGTGCTAGACAAGGATTCTGTCAAGAGTTGCCCGCTTACCTTTGTTAGCTAACCAAAGGATGGAAAGCTCCTCCCTCAACATTATTGTTGCTAATTCACATCATCATAAAAGGCCAAGCTGTCATAGGCTCCCAAGCACAAGCAGTACTATGGAGTATAGAAATACATTCAGCAATTCTCCTAGAAATACATTGCAACTGTAAACAGCTTGGCTAAGATTTAGTGTTGATATGAGTTCTCCAATAGTCACTGCTGTCATTTCATTATCCTATTTAGGTACTGGAAGTGAGTAACCTTGAAACTATGGCTAGCTTTGTCATGATCCTAGACAAGCCCAGCAGAAAAGTATATGTTTCCGTATACATATTGTTCTGTTAACAAATTCAGTCGCACTAATTCCGCAGTGGGCAAAAACACCCATGCATGTGTGCAGAAACTCCTTAAACTCGATCAATCCCAGCAAAGGCCGGGGATTTAAAAACAGCACAAGACCAGAGTGCCCAACAGTCATACTGGGAAACCATCATTGCTTGCAACTTCAGCTTGGCTGCAGTAAAGCTACCATGATCATAAACCCTGCCCCTAGCGCACACAGAGTTCATGAAGAAGTTCTTCAAGTGAAGTCTTGAAGAATTCTTAACCAAAGTAAACATTTTTCATCTCCGTTGGAGCAACATGGGCTATTGCCCACGTTTCGGGTTCAGGAAGGGGAAGAAGCGCAAGAGCAACACGGAGAAAGAGGTCGTGCAAGACGACAATATGCAAGCCTGAGGAGAATGTGGAATTGTCTTCTGGTCAGTTGATACGATATGATTCTCTCTCTCTTTCTTTTTTCTTCTTGGTTTTTCTTTCTTTTCTCTTTCTTTATTTTCCATTGGAACACCAGTTTGAGAATGCTATCAGTTTGTTTCCTGTCATTAAACTTCAGAGTCAAGACAGTGTTCTTGATTGTTTTGTGATTTGGGTCATGCTATAATATCGTAGTCAGTTGGCTTTTTAGATTTTGCGCCTTTAGCTCATCGCGGGTATTATAACTGAAAGCGAAAATGTTCTTGGAGTTTCTTGTTTTCTCAACTTGGGATTTTTGTTTTTCAAATTTACCAGTTACCACCTTCTGTTATCTGGTTTCAATTGAAAATGACATATTTTCTGAAATACCAAGTTTCAATCTTTTCTGAAAATATTAAAAATATGGATTAGAACAAGTGTGCAAAAATATGCAATGTATTTCTAGGAGAATTGCTTAATGTATTTCTATACTCTATAGTACTGCTTGTGCTTGGGAGAAACTCAGAAATTCTAGGCCTATGACAGCTTGGGCTGATCTGTCTGATGCGAATTAGCAACAATAATGTTGAGGGAGGAGCTTTCCATCCTTTAGTTAGCTAACAAAGGTAAGCAGGCAACTCTTGACAGAATCCTTGTCTAGTACTTACGAGCACTTGTATAGACTCCATAGGCTATTAGATTTTGGGTTTTGTGTCCGGTTTTGCTGGAATCGCATGAGCACTAATTCTTTGATTGCTCCTTTTATGATGATGATACATAGTACTCTAGAGTGCACGGTGAATATGGGATCACTTCTGGTCGCATCTTTGTTAATTGGGCTGCGGTGCTGCTCAATGGAAAGGTAAACAAGTGCATTATGTTATGTAGTAAAAAAGCTTTGCCTGGCTGGCTGGGATTGTGGATCATATCTGGAGGTGGAAAAATGATAGGATTTTGGGAATGAGAACAAAGCTTGTCATGGCTGTGCTGCTCAAATTGTGTGAGCCATTTATGCAGTAATCTTCCTGTAATTTTGAAAGCTGCTGGAGTCTTCCTTTGTGTCTGTTGTGTTTCCCTCTGCTCTGTGCAAGGCTTTGCATTGTGTCTGCTCTGTTGTGTATACTACTTAATTAATACTTATAGTGGAAGTGGTTATTGACATTGTCGGTTATTTCTGTTTTATCACTTAGAACTTGTATTATATTAAGAAAAGGCACATAATCTCATCACTTGCAATTTGCAATTTGTGTTGAAATATAATCCTGTTCTGCCTGATTTCTCCTGTTCTGCCTGATTTCTCCAGTTCTGCCTGATTTGTTCAGTTCTGCCTGATTCTGTTCTGCCTGATTTGTTCTGTTCTGCCTGATTTCTTAGAGCAGAAGTAATTTTTTATTTTCTGTTCTGTCTATTTTAAATGATGTAATGAGAACCATTAGATCATAGTCTAGGTGGATTCTCTAGCTTAGATTTAGTATGACACGTGTAAGCACCTAATAGGGTGACAGTTGTAATTCTGTTAGAAGAGAATCACATTTCTCTCCTGACGGACACACTATGTAAGCTGCAGATTGTAATAATTCAATAGAACAGTGCCTTCCTCATTTTCTCTTCATTCTCTCTAGCTGAAATCTCCAGAAAATACATCTCTTCCTAATCGGAAAATACATATACAAACTAAGAATTCTAACAATTTGCACGAGAGGGGAATGCATCATGTATTAATTTGCACAACTGACTAGGCTTTTTGCCTATTAAAGTTACCATACCAACCCAATGGCGACTTTTTTTGAATTTACCAATTCCATTCCTGAATCCAATCTCGCATGCATTCCTCAGTTTCATGTCAAAAGATCATCTGAAGAAATCTACATTACAGAGGTAAGGCATGCATTCTTCCAGTATCATTGTTCAAACAATGATATATCCAGTATCACAGATTGCGAGCTAACCCAGAGGGTTAAGAGAGAGAGAGAGAGATGCAATTCATTTGTGTAAGCAAAAAACGAAATTTTGATGGATTTATCTGAATCAGTATTTGATTGTTATATTTGCCAAATCAGGAAAAGTCAAAGTAACAACAAAGTTCTTTAAATTGACTGATACTATTGAGACTTCAAGAGTCAGTCTTCAGGGATATATTAGAAACCAAGATCCATCGGAGCTATTCATCTATAATTTTGACAGCATATTAATTGCTACGAACAATTTCAGCATCACAAACAAACTCAGTTTGGTCCAGTTTACAAGGTGAGTTTTTATTTTGCCTTTTCTCTTTCTAAAGGAAAAAATTGTATCACAACAGCTACAATTCTATGCAACTACAAGATAAGGACATGAATGCAGTGATTGATTTGTATTCTGTACAAATTCTTATAACCTTTCCACGGAAGCACCATTGTCAATGTGACCATGTTGTTCATTTAAGATTTCCATAGTTTCAACAAAGTCAACACCATTGTTCCACTTTTCAGGTCCACCAAGAAGCACAACATCCAAATGCATCCCAGGGACAAGGTATATTTTGTCCAACTTTACCAGGAACAAGAAGGATGCCAAGTATTTGATGGCATATGAACGTGTCGGTGTTGATGGAGGGAGGAGTAATGGCTTGGCTGTGTCTCAAGATGGGCTTGAGGGATTGGACAAGACATGGCTGTGTGCCTGTGTCTTCGGATTGATGTAGTTAAAACGAGGAAGCATGCATATAAATTAATCTACCTCTCATACGTACTCTGTCAATGGAACTTGTCTCTCTCAATTTTCTGAGATCCTTCCTCTTTTATCAAGACGGAACATAGATGAAAATAGGAACACACAATAAAGTTTCATTAGAGCCAACATCTAACAACTGCTTCACCTGATTGAACACTCACATCAACATGGTCAAAGGGTCTGGTGCTTGAGTTTGGTCACAAAGTGTCTTGGGACAGTGCAGAAGTTGGGTCACCAGTAGTGAAAAGGTTCATTGGGAACAATGAAGAAAGGTGGTGGTACTTGTGGTACGTACCATGGAAGGTCTGTTGAAATGTAATCCTTCAGCTGCTTTCTTATAGCCGAAGTCACCAAGCATTATTCCTCATTCCTTACGTCTATTTTATATGTGATGTAATTAGAACCATTGGATCATAGTCCAGATGGATTCTCTAGCTTAGATTTGGTATGACAAGTGTAAGCACCTCATAGGGTGACAGCTGTACGTAATTCGGTTAGAGAAGAATCACTCTTCTCTCTCAGCTACCGAGCACACTATGTAAGCCAACTGTTTGTGAAAATGCAATAGAACAGTCTCCTCTCCTTCTCTTGCAAAATCTTCAGGTTATACAAAACCTTCATAACCTAA